ATTACACACTTCCGGTGATGTCAGGGGGCGTGGTATATGCTTAAGAGTTATGCTAATGAGTTCCCCTAGCTCTTTTTCTACGAAACGACCCCTGCCACAGGGGGAAGAACTTCCTCTGTTTTCTCTCTGTCCCCTTCAGTTCCCTCAGGGCCTGAGTTTGTCCCCCATCTGTGCTTCCTGTGCAGTGCCCCTGGGTGACCTTATCCAATGCTATGGCTTTCAGTACCAACCATATACTGATGAGCTCTATCACAGACCACCCTCTCTTTGGTCAATCCCACATCCTGAGTTCCCTGGGTGACCTTTCTGCTCAAATGTCTCATTGCCATCTCAAACTCAGTATATTTGATGCTGACCTCGTTCTTCCTCAAAGCCTTCCTCACCTCACATGCTGTCACTTCTCCCTTTGCGACACAGCAAAAACAGGGCCCTTCCTCTCTGCCCCCACCCACCTGCTTCGTGCTCTGGCCACTTGCCTTCCCTGCTGGCCTTGCATTGCTGTATCACAACTCCTCCCTTCTAGCCAGCAATCAGCTGCCAAAAGCAACTCTCTCGTCTCTTGCCTTGACCATGTGACAATCCCTCTTGGCTTTCTCATCCAGTGCAAACCGCTCAGCCTTCAAAGACTTCTGTGGCTGTGACCACTCTTTTCATCTTCTGTGTTATCCCCATGGATACCTTAGCTTCTTCAGCCCCATTGCCCTCATCCCAAGCCATGGGATGTCTTCTTCCGCCTCCAGCACACCCCACCATGACAACTGGAATTGCCTCCCAGGACGTCCGCTTGAGACCCTGCTGCCTCACTCGTGCACTCACTGTCCAACTGAAGCTAAATTTCAGCACATCTGAGAGGAATGAAGGTGGAATCCTTCCCATTCCTCCCTCCCTCTACTTGCCACCCTTCCCTCTGTGGTTTCCTGCCTCAGACTGTAGATTGTCAGCACCTACTGTGTGGGAGGGCTAGCAAGCCCTTGTGATGATGTGGCTCTGTGTGGTTGCTGGCTATCAATTAACTTGCAAGGGCACAGACAGAGACTTTGCATCCCCGCATCTTACTTCTTTATTTTAGTGCATTTACATCCTCCTGTTCCAGGTTATCTGCCTGAGGCCTTTGTCATTTCAATCTGTCAGTTGGATTTCAGGATATTATAATGGGGTTAAGAAGTTTCCTTTGGGGTTTTTCCCTAATACATAACCATATCTGTTTAATGTGAAGGCATACAAAGTGGAATACATGAGATGCCAGACCAGTGCAGCCTCCCATCCCACTTTCTGGGGAAGATTTTTTCCTCCTCTTGGGCTGTCTGTCCTCGAGTCCTGTGATGAGCCATTTCTTACAGCTTCCATCTTTTATGCAGACGTTGTCTGTCCAGCTGGTAGGCACCTTACTGCTTCTGATCTTAGAAATCATAGCTGGCATCATGCTCTCCTCCCTCTGCGGAATGCTTGGAGGATCCTCCTGGCTCCTTTTCTGTGAACAGTTGGGCATTTACATCATGAGGGGACAGAGTCCTGTTCTTAGCGGTTCGGTTGCATCTGAAGCTGCTGCCAGGAGTGATGATCAGTCGTGCTCCACGCCGCCTTAGCCAGTGGCGCATACGTGCCAGGTCTTGGCTGTATTGGTGCTCCCGTAGAAGCTGTTGCTGCTGTTCTCTCAGCTGGGTCATGAAATCTTTCAAAACTTCAGCTCGTTTAATGAGGTTCAGCAGTTCATGGCGCAGTCGCCAGTTCTCTGCTTTCACCTGCTTGGTGTGTTGTATTAGACTGCGCACAGCTTCCTTCTCTGCCAGCTTGGCGAGAGTTTGGACTTTCTGCTGACACTCCATCTCATAGTCAGCTTTCTGCTGTAGGAATTGGCTCTTGACCTTGTGCATTTGCTCTGAATGCTGGATTTTCATGGCCAGAAGCTCCTTCTCCAACTCCCGGATCCGGGTCAGCTGCTCCAACTGTAGTTCCTTGAAGGGCTGTAGCTCGTCAACTTCTTTGTTCATGAGGGAGTACTTGGTCTCCATCTCGATCAATTGACTCTTCACCTCCTTCTCCTTGTCTGTGTACTGTGAGACCAGCTGCTCCTTTTGCTTCCGAACCTGTGCCAAGTCTGAGCGGTTCTGATCATTCAGTGTAACAATAGCAGTCTGGCATCGGAGGGTGCGCTTATTCAAGTAAGAGAGATAGGCCTTGTTGTTCTCCCGGATCTGCTGTGCTTCCTTGTCCAGGAACTCGTTTTCCCCCTGGAAGTGCTGTACGCGCTGTGTGTATGTATCCACATGTTCCGTCAGGATGGCGTATTCCTTCTGTAGGTACTGCTCCCGCTCACTGACAAATTGCGCAGGGGCAATAGTTCCAGTCTTGCCTTTTTTATCTTTTGTCTTTTTTTTCTTCGGTGCCATGTTGTGCCAAGTGGTAAGTGTTTAGATGCTGACAAAATGAAGCAGAATAGTCTGATGTGTTATCTAGGGGGACAGGAGGAAAGGAACTCTCTCAGGTAACCTTCAAAGTTCTGATGCTAAAAGTGACAGGACACCCATGCTCCAGGGCCCAGCCCTGAGTGGGGAAGAGCCAGGTCGTCATTACTCCAGCAGCCACAGAAGAGGGAAATGGAGGGCAAGGGGTGGCTGTACAATGGAAAACCATTCTGAATACACGCTAAGCAGCTCACAATGAAACAGAGAATGGTAATCATGATGAAATGCCTTCTGTCCAAGAATTCGCTTGGGCATTTCAGTCACGGTGACTGCATTCTGTGTGTTCTGCAGAGTCTACCTGCAACTGATAGAAAGGAAGGAGGGGGTTGGGGGAAGGAGCCATCAAGCACAGAGTGCTCAAACTTTTGGTTTTGGATACAAATTATTTTATCAGGAAAGTGTTCAGCGAATTGGGCCTAGAGAAGTATCAGTGCCTGCCATTTTGCCTCTGGGCACCAGAATAGCAAAGGTCTCTTACTGTGCAAAGCACTATTGCGGGATGTTGGTGGGAAAGTACTTCAACTTTGCTGCTGTAGCTGCTAAAATGAGCTCTAATCTGTGTTCAGATTTGGTAAAAGTCTCCACTGTTACTCTAGCTGTTGTCCAAGATGTTTCCCCTTCTCAAATTTGATAGGGAACCAAAGGGCCTGACGTTTGCTAGCACATGGGTTGAAAGGTAATTGCATTTATCCTAGAAGCTTACCAGCAACTTTAGTGGAAAATTCCCCCCTTCCACCAGGAGATAATTTGAATCCATCTTTATTTGGGACTGGATTATTCTAATTGTTTCCTCCTCCATGCAGAAGCACTATATCCCCCCTTACTGTAAATTTATGAAATACGCAAATCCCACCCACCCCCCACATGTCGATGGAGGGACGCTAAATCCTTACATCTGCCCCTACCTTCGCCCTTGGGGATCTCGCACCAACTGTCTTCCCCTCAGTGCTCAGCTGCCTGCCAGCCTTTTCCCAGCAGGCTGGAGGAAATGCAGGGGAAACATGTAGGGGGTGGTTTTTTTCAAGCAACTGGCATCTTTGGAATGTCTCCTGTGTCCATGGTAATGATGGAATGCCTTGACATCACAGGCTGTAAAGCATCTAGCTGAGCCCATTACTTTGAATGCTGTTACTGCGTGTGCTCTCTCTCTCTCTCTTACACACACACAACACACACACACACATCAGTGTCCATCCCTGATTGTGTTAGAGCAGAATTCCTGGGTCAGGCCACTTTCTAGCTGCAGTGGCACTTTCAAGTGTGTTTCCTCAGCATGGAGCTATTTGGCACTTGTATAGAATATAAAAGTATAAATACCTTCATTTTATATAAGAAAAGCTGCAAATACATGAGAAAGTGTTGCAAACTACTACACCGTATCCCTATCTTTCTCCCCTCTTGACTGGGGGGAGGTGGGTGTCTGTGCTGTTGGCCAGGCTGTGGTGAAGCCCATGCTGCCCTGAGTGTTGGGGAGGTGGGCTTGTGGCCAGTCAGCTAGGATGTGGAGAAGTCCACAATGCCCTGACTGTTGGGAGGTGGGCATCTGCGCTGCCGGCCAGACTGTGGAGAAGCCCATGCTGCCCTGAGTGTTGGGGGGGTGGACTTTTGATCAGTCAGTCACAATATAGAGAAGCCCACAATGCCCCGACTGTTTGGGAGCTGGGTACTGTGGGCCTCCCTGCAGCCTGGCTGGCCGTGCAGATGCCCACAATGCCCTGACAGTCGGGGCACCATGGACTTTCCCGCAGCCTGGCCGGCCATGCAGAAATCCACCTCCCAACAGTTGTTGCACCATGGGCTTCTCTGCAACTTGGCCAGCCATGCAGGAGCCCACCTCCCCAACCGCTGGGGGGAAGTGGGCTTATCCCCAGTCTGGCCAGCACCCCACCCACCCCCCAACTGCAGGCTTGTCTGCAGCCTGGCCAGCAGCACCTTCCCCCCAATGACAAAGAAAAAAATGATGAAGATCACCCAGCTGGCTGCATGGGGGGGGGGGGATCAAAGCCACTTCTCCAGATTAGAGTTTGCCACTCTTAATCACCACACCACACTGGTGTACACTGGGGCCAAGCCACTTCAAGTGGCATTAATACAGACTCTTAAACTGCAACGCTGAGCTGTGAAATAAGCATGTCAGGGCAATGGACAGAACTGTAGCTGTGAAGCAGTGCCCTTACACTGGACTGAAGGCATGTGCCCTAGCCAAGGGGAACCTTGGCTTAGACAGCATCCCAACCCAGATGTGGACCCATGGAATACAAGATTCCTCTCGCTCCTGCACCTCTGTGGCTATGCAGCACCAGAAGGAATACCAGCAGTCCTGACCCCTAAACACACAGAGCAGATCCTAAAAGGGAACCGTGCTCTGCAAACAAGCCAGGAGATTCCTGTACAGACACCATATAGAGCTGCCTTTTCCACCACGTAGGCATTTCTCCCCCCCCCCATATAGTAATATCACCAGGTGAAGCACGTACTCTTCAGCCTAAACAAAAGGAGATGCCTGATTAGGCCAGAAGCAAGCCGTCACATCTTCCAGCTGCCCATCAAGATAATGCAGCTGTCTAGCATTGGGTCATTAATCCAAAGCACCAGTCTTGCAACCTGGATTTTTCTCTTCATTTCCTTCTTAGTCTTTCCACATTCTTGAGAGGGGTCACTGTTTGCCAATTACTTGTTTCAATTTCCCAGTGATCAATCCCTTTTCCTAACCCATTAACAGTCTAAGTTTTGGCTAATAAAAAGAGAGCATTCAGCCATTACTCTCTCTCTTGCTATTACCTTCCTAACCCCACCCTATCTTGCTGGTTCCATTCATAGTGCTGTCTGGAACCTCCCACATGTGGCTGGCCAACTCATGACCCCTTCCCATAGTTTTTATCCCTTTTTCGTTGCAGAGTTGACTTGTCTCATCAGACAGGTAATGTATCGCCCACCCAACAATACTTCCTGATAATGCAACTGTCTCTGTATTGCTTGTGTGTATGCATGATTTTATATTGTATGTGTGAGAATCATTAGTAAAGAAATCACCGCTTTAGTAAACTTAGGCTCAGTGTATATTTCTGGGCTCTGGAAAATCAAACTCCCATATACATAGGTTGTGGGCCCCATAGTTAATGCCTATTGCTGTTTAATATTCATAATTCCCCACATTTAATAAGAAATAAGGCCACTTGGCTAACAACGCCAGCCCTGCTGCAGCCCTGTCCCAGCCTCCTTCCTTCTGAGTGCTTTGTCACAAGCATTCCAATCCAATCCAAAGCCTTTTATTGACATATAAATAAAAATACAGTAATCTAAGTACACACAGAGTCAAATTAAAATTGCCGAGTAACAACACAGAGTATCATCATAAAAAAACCCTAATTAATCATATCATTTATCAGGCCGTAGGGCCATGGCACTGTAGAGAAACTTTGCTGTTATTTCAGTTATTTCTGTGTCTGTGTTATCGAGCAAGAAAAGAAGCTTAAAATCATCAGGGGACTCTTAAAAATGACCTAATATGGGATATAGAAGATCCCGACGGGATGCCAAATAGAGAGGGCACTGGAAGAGAACATGGGCCATGCATTCCTAGTGGCACACGCTGACCCGCATCAACTAGAGTGGCGCTCTAAGCTGCAAAAATGCTCAGTGCAGTTGGAGAAAGGGCAGACGGGGTGTGTGAGCAGAGGAAGCAGGAGGGCATACTAATGGGTGTGGGGATGATGCACAGGTGGGCGGGACATAGGTGGCTGGGTGAGAAGAGAAGCACCAGCAGGGCTGCCAGGGGACAGAGGAGGGGAGGGAGTTCCTGGACACTTTTTACACAGATTCCCCCCCAACTTGGAACCGGCCGTGCAGGAGGACATTTAAAAATGATCCTTCAAGAGTTCTCACCTGGTTTCGCTGAGAGTGGACATTGGCGGCGGCAGCTGCTCATCTGCTTTATTTTCTTTTAGCCTTTTAGGGACTTTTTTCACTCACCCCTTTCTGGTATTCCCTCAGAGGGGGAAACCGAAAGCAATAGGCTTTTTCCCATACGCAAGATAGACTGGCAATCGTCTTGGGAAGCTACGGTTTGCCTCAAAGTGGAAGGCTAACAAGAACGCTCGGAAGACGCTGAGCTCAAGACGCAACCTATGGGACCGATTGGAGTCTTGTAGAGATACTTTACCACAACAATAACCGAAGCTAAGTAACTTTGATGTTTATATTTAAGGGCATAACAGTATTAGGACCTTTAAGAAATGAAATTAAAACCCGTATAAAATAACACAAAGGGGGAAAACAGGAACAAGTTCCCTTTAAGGCAGCCATTAGCGAGAGTACAAGATAGAAGTAATTAACGAGGCTGTCCGATTCCCCATGCATTCGAAATAAATCCACGTTTGATGAACCAAGTTAAATTTATTATAAAGCGATGGTTAGATCAGGAACACAGGAATTGTTAGGAATAACTACAGACCCCAAAGGGAAACATAATAAAGGAACTTGAACCAGGTCAGGACCAATGAGCCCAATTCCCGCTGGCGGGAATGCAGATAAGACTAGCGCCCAATTCCTTGGGAACGCAACGGTTCTACAACATAAACACAAGTTCAGTTCTCAGGCAGGAGATACATAATAAGCAAAGCAACGCCATAACTTCATCCCACCTCCAGCGGGTTGACCTTGAGCAGTTCCGCAGTTGTAGCAAGCAAAGAAAAGTAAACACCTACACCGGAGGATATAGGGGTGTGTGTGAACAGAGTACAATGTAACATGGAGAACAGAACACACCACCTTATGGCAGCTTGCTGACAGAGGCGGGTTAAAGAAGTAAATGTTAAAGAAGTAAAATATCTAAACCTGAATACTTAGAATATATTTATCTCACGGTTGTGTTTGTTGCCTTCCCTCCTCCAGAGTGGTGAATTTTGGAGTTTGGCATTCGGAGG